TATATATGTAAAAATATCTCATTAATCACACTATCGTAAACAGGCCTATTGAAGTATTATTGAAAAAATACTTATTATTATTATTATTGTTTTATATATTATTTATCAACCACATTAACATTGAAAACATGAATCAGCCTATATGTGGATAAAATTATCACAGAAAATAAACTTATTTATAAGATTATTTTTTAAAACAGAATCAAATAGATAACATTTTTATTTAAAAATAGGATTTGTATGGATGTAATTTCATTTAATAGGCTAATTAACTCATTAATAAAACTATCGTAAAATTATTTTTTATCATTCTTATTTTCTTATTATTATTGTTTGTTTATTTTTTGTTTTAAGTATATGCCTAGGCCTATATAATATATAATGTATATATTTATAATTATATTTAATAATTTAATTAGAAATAATTATAATTATTAATTGTAAAACATATATAAAATAATGTTAACAATAACATAGGCTAGGTTAGACCTAATCAATTATTGATACCATAATTCGATTAATTAACAGCAGCTTTTCTCACTGTGGCAGTGTTGATAGGAAACAGCAAATACCGTGGGTAAATATTATAATTTTATTTTCTAAAATTTAATCAAATTATATTAGCACAAATGTTGTTGCTAAACTGACCAATCGGCCATATATTTTTTTTTTTTTTTTGGTCACGTGCATAACTTAACGCTGATTAACTCATTTTTCTTTTAGTCTTCTATCTGGTTTTAAGAAATGGCAATAAAATTGAATAACTTGATGTTATCCCTTTTATGATGCTAGTTTCTTTCAGCATATTTTCATCAAAAAACGTGCCTAATTTTATTCAAATAGTACACTTGTTTTATTTTGTATTTATGTTTTTTATTACACTATTATTATTATATTTTCGTATTCTGTTAATGGACCTGTATTTTTATTTCTGAAGTGATGGATATGTGTAATTTGTACGAATTAAGTGTTGTGTTTGGGCATTATGCTCGAATCCCTTTTAGAAGTGGTGGCTCTGAAAAGAGCCGTTTGGTTTGAAAATTGGAATACAGCCTAATAGCCAGATGCTCGCCCTTCTCTTTCAATCACTACTGGTATCACCTTGTCTAAATGCCGTATGTTAATGGAAACAAAACTCAAGCGTTACTGTTTCCCTCCACCAAGCTAAAATGCCATCTACCAGTTCTTGTTAGAGCCTGAGTTTCACATATTTTCTAAGATGGTGTTTAAGTTAATGCCAAACATTCTCAATCGGGTTTAGATACGGGGATTTGGGTGGTGTTTTCCACCAGTTGATGTTGTTTTCCATCATGTAGTTAGTTGCTAATCGACTGGTATGTTTCGGTTCGTTGTCCTGTTGAAATCTGTGTGAATCTGGAAATACACGGCGCACAAATAGGAGTAGTGTGCCTTCAAGAATTTCCTCTACGTAAAAGTTTGCATCCATGTTTCCGCCGAAAATGCAAGCACGCGTCGCACCCCTTAGGCTAATAAAATAATACATTCGCGAAGATATAGTGATAACTGTCCTTTCATTTTGAAGTTCTCAATTGTACTGAACAAGATTTACAGTAATTTGGGGTGCAATGGTAGAATATTGTAACAACTGACTAACACTCTAAATAAATCGACTTAGTGATTGATATGTTTCCTTTATCATGAATGACTGCGAAATTACTTTGATTCCCATGGCGGCCATAACAAACGTGTAGTGCAAATACCACAGCAAACAAAATACTCCATTCACAAACGGTTTTTACCACGGGCCGTAACAAACTCTTGATAAATATAAAATTTTAAAATATTCCATTTAACGGATTTGATTGCTTCTTACAGATGTTGTACGTACCGCTTGGTGCCTTATTTAATAACAAACAATGATAGGCATATCCATCCTATATATACTTTTTTATAGGAATATCTATAATGACTGCATTCATGTAAAGCCTATAGTTTTATATATTATTTTTATTCAAATTTCTACCATATACATTATTACAAAAATATTTCAAAACAATAAAAAAAAACAAGGCAAGGAAAAACCAAACAGATGATAGACATTTATACAAGTTGGCCATCTCATAACAATACAGTTATAAACAGAACAATTACCAGTAACCGTAAGAAAGCGACCAACTACAAACATGTTCAATTCAATGAAAGTTATTTAAAATTACTTATTGAAATACAGTAATTTAAAAGTTTGATTTTAAAAGAACTAACAGACAAAAACTTAAATTACGAATTTCACCAGTTAATATATTCAAAAGTTTCCCTTAATGGAATAAAAGTTATCTTATAGGCCCTATTGAATTTACTAAACACTCCCTTCATTAGGCCTACAGTACACTTCCATAAGAGGTTTTCTTCTTCATTTTTTTTTTTTTTTTGTTTCTTTGTCTATGTTGTTATTAAAGTATTTGGTCAAGTGTCATTTCCGTTTGATAATGTTAAATGTGTTCTTTCTTGTCATTCAAAAAAAAAATACAGTTCTGAACCATACTAGCATAATACTAAGCCTATACATAAAAACCTGTTTGGCCAATGCTTAGTTTAAGTAGGCCGACGGTATATCATCATAACTACAGTATGTTGATACCTGACCTTTTATTTGAACTTTGTAACGCTTAAAAAACGGATCATGGTAGTTCGCACAGTTAATAAAAAGACATTTTACATCATGCCTTAATGCCTGACTGGGTATCGAATCTCGTTTTCTTGCTAAAGGTTATCGTATTACCAATCGATGATAGCTCATTAACCGCAAGTTACTCAAGTTTCAATCGCGGTTCGCTCATGTGTAGATGGTAAAGGATTTCAGAGCACTACTGTATGCTTTATGTTTACTAGGAAAAATGATAATAAGCCTATGATACATTAATTATAATTAATTAATTATGAAATGTAATACCAAATTCTAGATAAGAAGCCTTACCTTGGACTTGGATAGTAAATACACAAGTATCAGCGTTACTATAAGAATCAGTTGCCGTAAAGACAATCTCAATAGGAGAGTTTCCGACTGGTATCATATCACCTGATTGGTATGGTGACGATAATACTGTCACATTTTCATTACTATTGTCACTTGTGACAGGTTGATCCCATGTGACAGTAGAATTTGGACTTCCTTCATCTGTGCTCACACTTAGTACACCAAGAGATTCATTGATGTAGTTGTTTGAAGTAATATTTGTAGGACAAGCTATAACCGGAGGCTCATTATCTAAAACAAAACAATACATTATTTTATACTAAAATGGATCCAACCTTCATGTGTGTCTACAGAGTTTGGTTATTTTTTGCATTTTAAAAATATTATCATGATACAAAAGAAAAAGATTAATTTGAAGTGAATATAAGTTATGTATGCTACTTTATTTCCAAACAAATCCCTACCAATGATCTAGATAAAACTTGGTCTTGAGACTGGCTTGTGTTTTATCTATCTACTGATATGTTAGAGTCATTTTCATGAGATCCATGACTAATTTTAGGATACCTTTTTTCTCGATGGATTTGGCAAGATGGACCAATTTATATAAAATATAGCTCCTATATACCTCCCAGATATAGGGGGGGAAAAAATCCTGTTAGGAGTTTTTTACTCAAAATGGCCGCCTGTTGATTTGGACGCTTGTATCTCGATAACCACTGGTCAGAGAGACTTGATTTTGTTCACAATATGCATGTTCCTATTTGTTGTAATACAACTTTTTATCCAAAAATGGTGGGAAATGCGATTTTTGAAAGTTTAACCTTTGACCTTGTATTGTCATATCTCGGTAACGATGGTCACAGAGACTCACAATTGATTGCAAATTATTCAGGAGATTCATGTTTATATTCGTCTTAATGAAAAAAATATTCAAATAGTGACCGGAACTCATACATTCTGACCTTTGATCTACTGTAGGGTGATTCCATGTCAAATCAACCAGATAAAAAAAAAAAATCCTGTATTACCGTCTCAGATTTTTATGAAATTCCATAAAAATGATCCACTGTATGAAAAACCAACAAAAAAAAAATAGCCTTTTAGGATATGTAGTTTCCAAGATATTGACTCCTCAAAAAAGGGGTGTGATTCTTCAATGTGCAAACGCAATTTACTTCAACTTTGGAAGCTTATAACTCGGGATTGGTAATAGCTTTCAAGGTCAAACTTGGTATTCTAACTTATTTTTCGCCATATTTCACAAATATGGCCTTAGATTAACAGTTATCCCTTCCCTTTTGAAGTTATCTGCACTCAAATTAGCCGCTTTGTTCACCGATGCAAATTTTTTTGTGATTTTCAAGGTCACCCTGCGTCCATATGAGTGGGTATATACACCTCATATTATAGGTATATAATCTATGTGTAGTTGTCTCTAGCCACATGCAAGCGAAGGCTGATCAAATCAATTAAAATTGAATGGCATATATTCAATGTTGGGACCAGATCTATAAAAGAGAAAAAAGCCTATGTTTCTGAACAACAGATCGTCATGTGGACAGTTAAAATCTTTTCTTAAATATACCCCAGTTAATCAGATTTGGTACGTACCTCATGGTTAGATACAATGTTGAAAACACATATTTCAATATCATAGGAAATCACAAAAGTTCTTAAGAGTTGGGTCATTCCATGCCAAATCAACAAATGCATTACACCATGGGTCATAGATTTTTAAAAAATTTGTTTGACTCAGTGATATAGTGTGAACTGAAAACCTGAAATTTTGAGACTCCCCAATTCGTTCATTTTCCTGTAGCGGCAATTTGAAGTTAACGGGGCGTGGCCCAAAATAAATATGAATTCTAGGAAGTTTCTATTCATGAATCGAACATAAATATATTCATGAAACAGAAATAGAAAGCTTCCAGAAAATAATTTACCATATATTGGCCACAAAGAAATGATGTGATGTCCCAGTGCTGTGACTTACTAATAACATATTGGATTGGATTGGATTTATTCGATGTAAACACCAGGGATAGCCCATGAAAGTCTAGAAGAAGACTTATTTTCAGTGGGGTCCTTCTGGTGGTGATTGGACAGTACACCGGGAGACAATCCCCTACTCTTTTCCGAAGAGTGTACTGTGTTCTTTAACGTGCACATGGGCCATAAATGCACACGGGACCAACGGCTTAAACGTCTCATCCGAAAGACAGTGCGCTATATAACTTGTATTTCAGCCCTCTAGCTGAAACACAGGGTGAGGCAGCGATGGGAATTGAACCGGGGACCTAGAGATCTCCACGGTTCAGCGCACACACAGTGGCTACCACCAGATTAGCCGACTGAGCTAAGCTGCTCTCATATAGAAAAAAAAAAACATAGAGAAAATAGTGTTCTATTTTCTCTATGCTAATAATAAGGGCCGTCACCCACAATACAAATTCGACGAGGTTATTATTAGCCAGGTTGAAGTTGCCCATTAAGAATTAAACCAGAAATGACTTTAGATCAATAAATTTGAAATTCATAGAAAAATTAACAGGTCTAGATTTAGAAATTTAAAGCAAAATATTTATATAAAAGTAGGGTAATTGTTGATAATGTGTTAAAACATGTTTTTAAAGGATTTGGAATCAGCAATAAAAGGTGTCCTATACCACAAAAGGAGGGGTTGTATGATGATATTAGCATATGAAAATTAAAGTTAATTTGAGGGACACCCCTTTACGTCGAATTGCCGCTACGGGAAAACGAAAAGGGAATTTGAGTTTCAAAACTTCCGACAGGTTTTTCTATTCACAAGGCCGGAGGGTGCAAAACAAATTAAAAATCTATGACCTGTAATGCTGTAATGCATTTGTTGAGAGGCCACACCCCCCTTAACCTCAAACTGCCGCTACAGGAAAACGAATTTGTCAAGTCTCAAAATTTCAGGTTTTTCAGTTCACATAGATATCTATATCACTGAGACAGTGTGAAAAAAAAAAATTAAAAATCTATGACCCATGGTGTAATGCATTTGTTGAGTTGGCATAGAATGACTCAACTCTTAAAAACTTTCGTGATTTCTGATTGTGTTAAAATATGTGTAGTTTTCAACATAGTATCTAACCATGAAGGAGCTGAGTACCAAAGCTGAAAAGGATTAGAGGCAGAACAAAAAATATTAGTATCATCAGCAAATATTGCACACTCTGAATCTGGAGTAATAATTTCAGGTAAAGAATTTACATAAATAATAAATAGAAGTGGCCCAAGAATTGATCATTGGGCACACCAATAGTAATATTTGTAGGATCTGAACATTTTGAATTTATTTTTACAATCTGAGATCTTCCTGAAAGATAAGATAAAAACCAATTTTGTGCACTACCTCTGATCCCATATTTTTCAAGTTTGTTAATTAACAGTTTATGGTTAATAGTGTCAAAAGCCTTTTTCAAATCAAAGAAAATAGCAGCAGTGACTTTACTGTTGTTAAGACTATTAAGAATGTATTATATGTATATATATA